CCGGGCCCTGGATAACTGACACACCCTACCCCGGGCCCTGGATAACTAATACTCCCCGCCCCGGACCGCGGCTAACTGACACTGCCCGCCCCGGGCCCTGGATAACTGACACACCCTACCTCGGGCCCTGGATAACTAATACTCCCCGCCCCGGGCCCTGGATAACTGACACTCCCCGCCCCGGGCCCTGGATAACTGACACAGCCCGCCCCGGGCCCTGGATAACTGACACACACCGCCCCGGGCCCTGGATAACTGACACAGCCCGCCCCGGACCGCGGATAATTGACATTCTCCACCCAGCCCCTTGAATAATTAATACTCCCAACCCCGGGCCCTGGATGGCATCAGAGGAGCAGGAAAGCTGACGTTTCAGGCCTAGAGCCTTCTTCAGAAATGGGGGAGGGGAAGGGGATTCTGAAATAAATAGAGAGAGGGGGAGGCGGATAGAAGATGGATAGAGGAGAAGATAGGTGGAGAGGAGACAGACAGGTCAAAGAGGCGGGGATGGAGCCAGTAAAGGTGAGTGTAGGTGGGGAGTTAGGGAGGAGATAGGTCAGCCCTGGGAGGACGGACAGGTCAAGGGGGCGGGATGAGGTTAGTAGGTAGGAGATGGGGGTGCAGCTTGAGGTGGGAAGAGGGGATAGGTGGGAGGAAGGACACGTTAGGGAGACGGGAACAAGCTGGGCTGGTTTTGGGATGCAGTTGGTGGAGGGGAGATTTTGAAGCTTGTGAAGTCATTTCAACTCCCCCTCCCACTCCTTGAATGACATGTCCTCCTGCAGTGCCACAACCATGCCACCCGAAGGTTGCAGGAACAGCACCTCATATTCCACTTGGGAATCCTGCAGCCCAATGGTATCAATGTAGACTTCACAAGCTTCAAAACCAGCCCAGCTCGTCCCCGCCTCCTTAACCTGTCCTTCCTCCCACCTATCCCCTCTTCCCACCTCAAGCCCCACCCCCATCTCCTACCTACTAACCTCATCCCACCCCCTTGACCTGTCCGTCCTCCCTGGACTGACCTATCTCCTCCCTAACTCCCCACCTACACTCACGTTTACTGGCTCCATCCCCGCCTCTTTGACCTGTCTGTCTCCTCTCCACCTATCTTCTCCTCTATCCATCTTCTATCCACCTCCCACTCTCTCCCTATTTATTTCAGAATCCCCTTCCCCTCCCCCATTTCTAAAGAAGGGTCTAGTCCGGAAATGTCAGCTTTCCTGCTCCTCTGATGCTGCTTGGCCTGCTGTGTTCATCCAGCTCTACACCTTGTTATCTCAGATTCTCCAGCATCTGCAGTTCCTCCTATCCCTGGGCCCTGGAAAACTGACACTCCCCATCCCAGACCCTGAATAATTAATACTTCCTGCCCCAGACCCTGGATAACAATTACTAGCACTTCACCACCCCCAGACACTGGTTAGCTGAGACACCCCACCCCAGGCCTTGGATAATAAATACATCCTGCCCCAGACCCCGGATAACTGACACACCCCATCCCGGACCCTGGATAATAAATACATCCCGCCCCAGACCCCGGATAACTGACACACCCCATCCCGGACCCTGGATAACTAATACCTCCCCACAACTGACAACTAATACCTCCCTGCCCCGGAACATGGGTAATTTATATCTCCCTGCCAGGACCCTGGACAATTTACACCTTCCCTCCCCGATACTGGATAACTAACACCTCTCCGCTCTGGAATTACTAACACTTCGCTACCCCCAGACACTGGTTAACCGACACACGGTCGACCCAGACCTTGGATAACTACCACCTCACTTTCCCAGGCCATCAATAGTTCACACCACCTCTCCTTGGCCCATGGATAACTAACATATTCACACGCTGGACATTGGATAACTGACCATTGGATAACCATCCCAGACCTTGCAGAACTGAAAACTTCCTGCCCCAGGCCCTGGATAACTGACATCTCCTTGTCCCAGACCCTGGATCATTGCCATCACCCACCCACCTCACCTTCCCTGAACATGGATAACTGCCACCTCTCCAGATCAGACCCTGGATAATTGACACCATCCTGCCCAGACCCTGTATACTCAACACTGCCCCAACCCAGAGAAGTGGATAACCAATACCCCACACTGGACTCTGGATAACTGACATCTCCCCTGCCCCAGAATATGGACAGCCAACATCTCCCCTTCCCTGGATTCTGGTTAACCAATACATCCCTGCCCCGGACCATGAATAATTTACAACTCCTCACCCATGGATACCCAACACATCCTATCCCGGGCCTTGGAAAGCAGACACTACCCCATCCAAGACCCTGGATAATTTACACTTTTCTTGCTCTGAACCCCAGATACCTCCCTGCTCTGGACCCTGGATAACTGTCATCTTCTCACCCTGGACCCTGGATAATTAAACAAAAAAAGTCAAAGAACAATACGACACAGGAACAAGCCCTTCGGCCATCCAAGCCTCTGCTGACACAATTTGCCCTTCCATACTAAAATTGTCTTCACTTACAGGATCCATATCTCTCTATTCCCTTCCATTCATGTAATCATCCAGGTATTTCCTGAATGCTGCTACTGTGTCTGCTTCCACCACCTCCTCTGGCAGCGCATTCCAGGCACTCACCACTCTTTGTGTGAAAAACTTGCCTCACACATCTCTTTTAAACATTGTGCCCCCATCCCCACTTCAACTTGAATCTGTGTCCCCTATCAATTGTCTCCCCCATCCTGGGAAAAAAACCTCATACATTCCATTCTACCCATGCCATTTGCAACCTTAAAAACTTCTATCAGGTCACCCCTCAACCTCCTGCATTCCAGTGAAAACAAACCCAGTCTATCCAACCTTTCTTCATAGCTAAAATCCCCCATACCAGGCAATATCCTGGAAAACTTTTTCTGTTCCCTCTCCAAAGCATCCACATCCTTCTAGTAGTGTGGTGATCAGAACTGTACACAATATTCGAAGTGCGGCCTAACTAAAGTTCTATAAAGCTGCAGCATAACTTATCTATCTTAAGACTCAATGCCCCTTCCAATGAAGGCAAGCATGCCAATAAGCCTTCTTTACTACCTTATCTACCTGCTCTGCCGCTTTCAATGATCTGTGGACCAGCACACCCAGACACCTCTGCATATCAGTACTCCTAAGGGTTCAGCCATTCACTGTATAATTTCCACCTGTACTTGACCTTCCAAAATGCATCACCTCACATTTGTTCAGATTCAACTCCATCTGCCATTTTTCTGCCCATGCCTCCAACTGATCTATATCCTGCTGTATCCTCTGACAATCCTCCTTATATCCGCAACACCACCAATGTTTGTATCATCTGCAAACATACTAATTAGACCAGCTATGTTTTCCTCCAAATCATTTATACAGAACATTAACTGCAGACGTCCCAGCACTGATCCCTGTGGAACATGACTAGTCACAACCCTCCATTCCGAAAAGCATCCTTCCACTGCTACCCTCTGTCTCCAATGACTAAGCCAGTTCTGTATCCATCTTGCCAGCTCACCCCGATAACATGTGACTTTACCTTTTGTAACAGTCTGCCACGAGGGACCTTGTAAGGGACCTTAATGAAGTCCAAGTAGACAACATCAATCACTTTTCCCTCATCAATCATTTTCGTCACCTCCTCAAAAAACTTGATCAAGTTAGTGAGGCACGACCTCCCCTGAATAAAACCATAATGTCTATTGCTAATAAGTCCATTTGCTTCTAAATGCGTATAGATCTTGTCCCTGAGAACCTTTTCCAATAATTTCCCTAACACAGACGTGTGACTCACAGGTCTGTAATTTCTGGGATTATTTTTGTTACCCTTCTTAAACAATGGAACATTGGCTATCCTCCAGTTCTCTCGGACTTCAGCTGTGGCCAAAGAGGATACAAAGATGTCTGTCAATCTTTCAGCAATTTGTTCACTTGCTTCCTTCAATATTCTGAGAATTGTCAACTCTCTACCCTGGACCCTGTATAATTGACACCTCCCAACCCAGGACTGTGGATTACCCACACATCCCTACCTCGGACCCTGGATAACCAACACCCACCCACCACAGATCATACACACCTCCCCGCCCTTACCCTTGGTAAGCACACATTCCATCCCCTAACCCTGGTTAACTGACACCTCCCCACCCTGTCCCTGAATAACCCACACCTCCCCATTCTAACCCTGGATAACACATACCTCCTTGGTGTGAACCTTGGATACAGTCATAGAGATTTACAGCATCAAAACAGTCACTTCAGTCTGACTCGTCCATGTCGACTGGATATCCTAGATAAATCCAGTTCCACTTGCCAGCATTTGGCCCATATCTCTCTAAACCCTTCCTATTCATATACCCATCCAGATGCCTTTTAAATGTTGTAATTGTACCACCCTCCACCACTTCCTCTGGCAGCTTATTCCATACACGCACCACCCTCTGCATGAAAAAGTTGCCCGTTAGGTCCATTTCAAATCTTTCCCCTCTCACCTTAAACATATGCCCTCTAGTTTTGGACTCCATGACCCTGGGGAAAAGACCTTGTCTATTCACCCTATCCATGCCCCTCATGATTTTATAAACCTCTATAAGGTCACCCCTTAGTCTCTGATGCTGTAGGGAAAATAACCCCAGACTATTCAGCCTCTCCTTATCACTCAAAACATCCAACCCTGGCAACATTCTTGCAGATCTTTTCTGAACCCTTTCAAATTTCACCCACAGATCCCTACCCCTAGCCACTGGATAACAGATGCCTCCCACTCCATCTCTGTATAACCTGCATTTCCTACCCTGGACCCTGTATAACCCACACCTCCTGCCCCAGACTCTGGATAACTGAGACCCTGCCCCAAAGCATGGGTAACTGACACCAGCCCACCAAGGACTCTGGATAACTACCATCTCCCCACCCAGGACTCTTGAATTCTCTTA